TGAATCATAAATCCCAACTTTAAACACTTAACCCATTACAAAATGAAAATAGAACATGAAAAAAATGAGATGAAATCCATTACAAAATAAGTGATAGACTGAAAGAATACAAAACAATTGAAGAAACCCTTCTTCCTCTTCCTTCCCTTTATTTTCTTTTTTCTCAGGATTTCTCTAGATGAAGAGTGAATAAAAATGGTTCAATTTGCCTTATAAAAGGCCCCAAAACCATTTTTTTAATTGTAAAATGGTCCCCTAACTAAAAAAAGACAGCCACACAGGCTCTTGTCGCGCAGCTGTGGCGCCACAGCTCTGTATCTGAATTTGTAGCCTAGCGGCACTATGGCGCAACTTTCCATTTCTTCTTTTTTTGCAACTCTAGTCCTCCGGGTAGCGGTGTCGCGATGCTACTTTCCATTTCTCCTTTTTTTGCAACTTCCATCCTCTGGGTAATTGTGCGTCCAGTTCTTCAACTTTCATCTTGTATATTTTAGTCCTCATATTTTAACTTTTCTTTCAATCATGCCCTCAAAAAATTGCTACCCTAGGTCCATAAATTTTTGGTACTCATACACTATGGTCCCCAAAAGTCATGTTTTTATGCACTTTTAGTCCTCTTTTACTTCCTTTAGCCATTTTCTCCTTCAATTTGAGATTTTGGCTTACAAAAACCAAAATTACAGAATTGTGAATAGGAATTCGCTCAATTTCATCAATAAATTGCTCGGTAAAGTGCTTGAAAAGTGTGTAACACCCCCAAACTTAAGCTCTTGCTCATCTCGAGCAAAATTAACTCCTAATACAATCACACAATACATGTAAAGAACGAACAACGTTAGATAGCCCGCCGGTGTATTCAAGAGTGTAAAATTGTATAATCAATTCATAGTTTTGCTCCCAAATCATGCTACCAAAAAAAATGTAAGCTTGTCTAATGTTTGATCGGTGTATGTGTGTGTATAGTTACTTTTAGTTATCATCTAAATTAGGAAACAATTATCAAGATGGAAAATTTTAAATCAACTCCAACCCAATCTTTTGTGGTTAAATATTTCATTTCCCACTCGTGAAATTCAAACCATAATATAGCAATTTTTTTCTCTTTTCCTGAGTATAAAACTAAAGGTATTTTTACGTCACTTTTTTTCTTTTCTTGCTCGAATTTGGTTGGGTCTATTTGGCAATTTCAACCCTAGTTATGTGATTATTTTTTACTAATGAGTGCTTTCGCATTCAAACTTATACTATTACTCACTCCCTTAAACTTTCTTCTTGACCCTTATAACAAGTTTTAGGTCAATAACTCCCTTGTTGTTTAGGCCAAAGGGTACTGGATTTCAAGATATCTCTACGGACTGAATAACTCGAGTTAAAAAGGCTATGAAGTGAGATCCAAGATTTAACAAGTACAATAACATTCTTTTTTTATTATTTATTTATTTGGTTTTAAGCACAACAAAAATGAGGCTTAGATCCTTAGCATATGGTAATTACCTAGCTTACACTTGACAAAAGACACTTCAAACAAATATTTTCAACATGTATAAAATCATACACTTCTAAATAATATCCATCACCTGTTTGACCACCCCCAAACTTAAATCATAAAATGGTGGAGTGATGGAAAGTATGATAGAAGTTTACATGTAACTCACAACCTAGTTATTCCAATTCAAAAATTTTCCATCTATAAACCATTTTCACATTTACACAACATCCAATTGTGACTATTTTGCTCAAAGTGGTGTAAGATCTCACATGAGCAAGGAAATTCTCAAGATCGAGAAAAATAGCATGACTGGGCATAACTTGTGAATTGATAACAATTTTAAACATCACATCAAATCATCAAAAGTCGACAAGGCTATCCAACACGTCAGCGTCAACACCAACATAAGCATAGTGTATAAGCACAATATCCCATCAACACCCTAAACTTAATTTACACATTATCTTCAATGTGTACAAAAATAATATAAAATAAGGAAAGAGGGTTGACGAAGCTTTTCCGATTAGATGTTTGTTGAAGGATGTTGTTGATGACTTTTTGGATCAAAACTTAATGTACGGTGTACACTCGAACTTGTTGAGATCAATAAGTGGCTGGGACTTCAAAAATTTTGACCTACAAAAGAATAATATTAAATCAAAATGCAATAACAAAAGTATAAATCATAAGTAACATAAAAAAGGTATAAGGATAGGAAAGTTGGATTACCTCTTAAAAAGCGCTTGGTTTAGTCCTTTGCTTGAGAATAGGGTTTTTCCACTTCGGGTTGGCAAGAGGAATAGAGGATTCCTCCTTCGAAAAATCACCTCCAAAGTATGGTTTCAACCGATGCCCATTAACCTCGAAGTTCCCATTTTCCTCGTAATGAAGTTCAATTGCCTCACGTGGAAAGATTTTAGGGAGGGTGAAAGGACTCGATCATCTTGTTCGGAGCTTTCCGAGGAATAATCAGAGTCAATAATTGTAAAGAAAAACTTGTTACCCAACAAAAAATTCCTGCTTCACAATGTTTTGATCATGCCATTTCTCTATCTTTTCCTTATAAATTTGAGCATTCTCATATGAATCAAGGTAGAGTTCATCAGTTTCATTCAATTGAACCAATCTTATCTCATTGGCTGATTTGACATCAAAATTCAAAACTTTCATTGCCCAATAAGCCCGATCTTAAGTTCTATCGGAAGATGGCAAGCTTTCCCAAACAAGAGGTGATAGGGATATATAATAATGGGTGTTCTGAAAGCATTACGGTGAACCCATAATGCATCATCCAATTTCTTGGACGAATCGTTTTTAGAGGCCACCCACTTTCAATTCAAGAATCCTCTTCAACTCCCAATTCGAAATCTCAAGTTGGCTACTAGTTTGGGGATGATAGGGAGTGGCCACATGATGCTATACTCCATATTTGGCCAATAGTGAGTTAAATAGGCGATTACAAAAATATTTACCTCCATCACTTATGATAGTTGGGGGTGTCATAAGGAGAGAAAATATTTTTCTTTAAAAATTTTACTATCACCCAAGCATCATTAATGGGCAAAGCCACCGCTTCTATCCATTTTTACACATAATCAACTACCACCAATATGTATTTATTTGACAATGAAGGAGGAAAATATCCCTTAAAATCAATAACCCATTCATAAAAAAAATCTCCACATCTAATATAGAATTCAAAGGCTTTTCATTTCGGTTGGAGAGACTACCACTGCGTTGGCATTTGTCGCACTTGGAGATAATAATGTGAGCATCTTTGAATAGTGTAGGCCAATAGCAATCGGATTGAAATAACTTTGATGATGTTTTTACAGCACCAAAGTGACCACCATAAGGAGAGGAATGACATTTCTCAAGGATTTGCTCCATTTTATCTTCCAGCACACATCTCCGAATAATTTGATCTGGGCCCCGTTTGAACAACAAAGGATCATCCCAAATATAATGCTTGATGTCGATGAAGAACCTCTTCCTTTGGTGATAAGAAAGATCCGAGGGAGTGATGCCACTAGCAAGAAAGTTCACATGGCCCGCATACATAATTTGCAAGAGTAGTTCATCAAGGAATACCTCGTTTATCTCCCCATCCACTACTTCTTCGATTTGCTCAAGTCCAGACAGATGATTGAAAACAACATTTTCGGTCCCCTTTTTTATCGTGATTTTTCAAGTCAAACTCTTGTAGAAAAAGTACCCATCTGATCAACTAATGCTTGGCATCTTTCTTTGCTAGCAAATACTTGAGGGCCAAGAGGTCTGCGTAAATAATCACCTTTGACCCAATGATGTAAGATCAAAATTTATCAAATGCAAATACCATCGCGAGCATCTCTTTTCAGTAGTAGCATAGTTTAGTTGAGCATTGATCAAAGTCCGGCTAGCATAGTAGATAACATACAAGATTTTATCTTTCCTTTGCCCCATAACCACTCCAATAGTATAATCATTTGCATCCAATTCGGGGCTACAATGATAGGGCCGTAATGAGTTTCTCTTTAAGAGTGTTAAAAGCATGGAGACATACTTGGGAGAAATAAAAAGTAACGTTCTTCTCTAGTAGAGAACAAAGTGACTTTGAGATATTTGAGAAGTCCTTAATAAATCTCCTGTAGAATTTGGTATGTCCTAAAAAACACCTTATTTACTTTATCGAGGTTGGTGGAGGTGACTTCTCAATGACTTGAATTTTTGCCTTATCAACCTCTACACCTTTACGTGAAATTTGAGCTGAGAACTGTGCCTTCTTGAACTATGAAATGACATTTTTCCAATTAAGTACGAAATTGGTCTTCTCACATCTCTTTAACAACATCTCCAAATTGCTCAAGTATTCATCAAATGAGGCCCAAACACCGAGAAATTATCCATAAAGACCTCAATACATTTATCCACCATGTCGTAAAATATAGCCATCATGCAACTCTGGAAAGTGGCGGGTGCATTGCAAAGATTGAAAGGTATCATTCTATATACAAATGTACCATATGGGCATGTAAAGGTAGTTTTCTCCTGATCCTACAGAGCTAGTGGAATTTGATTATAGCCCAAATACCCATCCAAAAAGCAATAATTAGAATGCCCCACTGACCGTTGAAGCATTTGATTAATGAAAGGAAGAGGAAAATGATTCATCATAGTAATCTTGTTAAGCTTGCGATAGTCAATACATACACTCCAACTGGTCAAGGGTCTAGTAGGTATAAGTTCATTATTCTCATTTTCTACAACCGTGAAACTTTCTTTCTTTAGCACCACTTGAACAAAGCTCACCCATGCACTATTTGAAATTGGATAAATAATACCCACATCAAGCCACTTTATCATCTCAGCTCTTACCACTTCTTTTATATTCGGATTCAACCACCTTTGATGCTCCACTAATGGTTTAAAATCATCCTCCATAAAGATTTTGTGCAATATAGTAAGGGACTAATCTCCTGAATATCACAAATGTACCATATGGGCATGTAAAGGTAGTTTTCTCCTGATCCTACAGAGCTAGTGGAATTTGATTATAGCCCAAATACCCATCCAAAAAGCAATAATTAGAATGCCCCATTGACCGTTGAAGCATTTGATTAATGAAAGGAAGAGGAAAATGATTCATCATAGTAATCTTGTTAAGCTTGCGATAGTCAATACATACACTCCAACTGGTCAAGGGTCTTGTAGGTATAAGTTCATTATTCTCATTTTCTACAACCGTGAAACTTTCTTTCTTTAGCACCACTTGAACAAAGCTCACCCATGCACTATTTGAAATTGGATAAATAATACCCACATCAAGCCACTTTATCATCTCAGCTCTTACCACTTCTTTTATATTCGGATTCAACCACCTTTGATGCTCCACTAATGGTTTAAAATCATCCTCCATAAAGATTTTGTGCAATTATAGTAAGGGACTAATCTCCTGAATATATGTAATAGTCCAACCGATGGCCTCTTTATGTTCTCTCAACACCCGAAGTAACTTTTCTTCTTCCAACTCACTTAAAGAATTAACAATGATGACCAGAAGTGTAGATGAATCTCCTAAATAAGCGTACCTCAAATGAGATGGAAGATGCTTCAAGTAAAGTACAGGTGCTTATTGAAGACAAGGTAGTAGTGGTGAAGAGCTCTTTTTCAAATCCTCAAAATTTTTTGCCCTTTAGTAAAAGCAAGAAGATGTATTTTCGAAATATTGTGCCATATACTCAACTTCAGGTTCTAATCCTTGATATCCGAAGAACGTAAAAGGCATATTTCGAGAGAGTCCTTTGAAGCCCATAGAGAAAATCAGCAACCACTTGATCAACAACATCCACTCGAAGGCATGAATCGGATTCCGATGGGTACTTGATGGCCTTCAAGATGTTGAATGTAACTTGTTCATCTTGGACTCTTACAATGAGTTGCCTATGTAATGCCCCGAGATCTTTTTCATTTTCATTAATTTATTCTTTTATAAAAATAGGCTTGAAGTGTTACCAACTTCTTCTTTGTCTAATTTAACCGAAAATATCACATTCATTAAGTGTTGAAAATGCATAAAAATAGCTATTAAACAATGTGCACAAAATTAAATATGAAGGTGTTTTTGAAATAAAAGTTTGACAATTATCTTTTCTAGAAAATTTACTTGGTGACTCCATGAGCATCACTCAATCAATCATCTATGCGTCCAAACGACCCGTTCTTATCTGAAAGGTATTATAAAAGTGAATATTTTGAAAACACTCAGTAAGAATATGTACACATTCTTATTCATATGATATAAATATAAACTGACATAATATACCAACATTTATTATATTTAGAGTTCAAGGAATTTTTTAAAAATCCTCATATCCCGTAGGATTTAACATCTTTGACCTAACGGTCTATCCCGAAGGATTTAACATAGAGTTCCGAGATCTTTTTCATTTTCATTAATTTATTCTTTTATAAAAATAGGCTTGAAGTGTTACCAACTTCTTCTTTGTCTAATTTAAGCGAAAATATCACATTCATTAAGTGTTGAAAATGCATAAAAATAGCTATTAAACAATGTGCACAAAATTAAATATGAAGGTGTTTTTGAAATAAAAGTTTGACAATTATCTTTTCTAGAAAATTTACTTGGTGACTCCATGAGCATCACTCAATCAATCATCTATGCGTCCAAACGACCCGTTCTTATCTGAAAGGTATTATAAAAGTGAATATTTTGAAAACACTCAGTAAGAATATGTACACATTCTTATTCATATGATATAAATATAAACTGACATAACATACCAACATTTATTATATTTAGAGTTCAAGGAATTTCTTAAAAATCCTCATATCCCGTAGGATTTAACATCTTTGACCTAACGGTCTATCCCGAAGGATTTAACATAGAGTTCAACTCAAAGGCATCATTGCAGTTTTTGCCAAAAATTATACAAATATCAAAGAATAAGAATTTACCATTTTGCACGATGTATTCTTACCTCAATTGACACCCAAAATTCTAAAAAAAATGGTTTGAAATGATAATGTGAAAGTGAATAGTGAGTCTTAAATAAAAATGAACTTAAGAAATTTATAACACAAAACACTCTCACCTCACACCCTATATATAATCACTCGCATGTAACCTTCAAGGAATTCAAAAGGTTGGTGACATAAGTCAAAAGCAATGAGGTTATTTATGACTTAATTAGGTTAATTATTTTGATAATTATGTTAAATATCTTTTCAAATTCCTACGTGAAAGTTCGTCTATTTTTTTCTTTGTTTTTTATTATTTATATTAATAAAATATTGAAGGTTAACACATTTCTTTTTATTAGAATAACTCGGACATGACTAACTCAAAATTACATTTTCTTGAGTCCAAATTATATTATTTAATATGAGCTACAAAATGAGTATAATATTTTATATATTTCATTAACTTCTAATATATTTAAATATTCGACCGAAATAACTTACGATAAATTCTAAAAACTCGTAAACAAGGTAAATTTTTATGCTAATAAGTGGGTTGAGCTTATCGTTTAACTTTTGGACTTTTAGTATGATGACAAATCTAGACATGAATTATTTCATTTGCTAAGTGAACCATATGAAAAATAGTAAAAAAAATTCGAAGTGTTATAGCTTATCTTGCACATCAATCAAAGCTCGACTGGTGACAAGAAACGATCATCCTAAAATGATGGAGATGTCATGGTCCTCCTCTATGTCAAGAATTATAAATCGGTCGGAAATATGAATTTGTCCATTTTGACAAATACATCCTCAATGACACCCTCGAGGATATTTAATTGATCGATAAGCCAATTGTAATGATACGGTGGTGGCTTTGGCTTCTCCCAATTCTACCTTCTTAAAAATAGACAAGGGCATTAAATTAATGCTAGCACTAAGATCACATAAAAGCTTTACTAAAATTTAAATCACCAACAGTGCATGGAATGGTAAAATTACTTGGATCTTTGATTTTTGGCAATAGCTTTTTTTGAAGGATGGCACTACACTCCTTCATTAGCATCATTGTCTCATGTTCTTCGAGTTTCCTATTGTTTGAAAGAATGTCCTTAATAAATTTGGTATAACTCGACATTTGGCTAACGTATCAGAAAACAGAATGTTTATGTGTACCTTCTTGAACACCTCTAAAAAATTTTCGAATTGAACCCATTTTTTGCTTTTAGAGTCTTTGTGAAAGGGAATAGGAGTCACATAGGCCTTGACTAGAGTTAGAGCCTTTGATATTAACCTGGTTCATCTTCTTTGATTGCTAAATCCTTCGAAATAGGTTCGTACATAAACCCTTCTTCTTGAATGTGTGCCTTGTCGGTATGAGCCTTCGAGCGTGCCATCATGATTTCGGACAATTGCACCCATCTTCTAGCAGACATTCCAAATTCTTCAAAGAGGCATCGTTGCGTTCTTGGTATTGTAATTGATGGTTTGCCAACTTGGCCATGGCCTCTTCCCAAACTTCTTTTTTCTCATGTGGCCTTAGGTTGAGCACATTTTGATTGTTCCCATAAGAGAAGTTCAGATGATTTCGCCAATCGGGGCTATAGGTTTGAGAGTAAGGATTGTATCCTTGGTGTTGAAAGTCTTGTGCATATGCCACTTGTTCGGTAGATACCAAACCACATCCTGTCAACGGGCAACTTTGGCTTGGGTGATTTACTCCACAAATATCACAAATAGGTGACGATTGTACCATATGGGCCAAATGAGAGCTTGAGGTAAATGTGGAAAGTCCTTCTACATTTTTTGATAGAGAGTCAATCTTTGCTAGAACCATTGAAAATGCTTCACCATTTCGACCTCCACTAACCCCTCTTTGTACACCCCTATCCAACCACATAGCACTTTGCTCACTCATAACCTCGAATAAATCATATGCTTCTCGAATACTCTTCTTCTTGATTGAATTATTAGATGAGGAATCCATATTTGAGTAGCAAGAAGGAGTCAACGTGGCTTAAAAATAATTTACTTGTTGCCCCATTGTAATTCATTATTAGGACATTTTTGAAGCCTATCTTTAAACCTCTCCCAAGCCTCATGAAAGCTCTCAAATTCGGACTGTTGGAAGGTGGTTATGTCATGCTTGAGTTTGACTATTCACGCAGGTGGAAAGAATTTTTGTTGTAAATTTTTGAACAAGTTCCACTCGACTATTTATACTTCCGGACGGTAAAATGTCAAGCCATTCCATTGCCTTATCCTTCAAATTGTGAACAAATAACCTCATCTGGCCTCCACACTCACATCTTCATATTTAAAATTTGGAAAAATAGCAGCCGAAGTACCAAACCTTTAGTTTGTGCCACCCACGATACCAAATCTTTTAAAAACTCGCAGTGGAAGTCCAAATGGATGAAAACTTTTAATTTGACCATTAGTTGCCCAAAGATTTAACATTGACCATTATTTTGACTAATTTTAAAAGGATAAAATGGTAATTTTACATTTTTAACAAAAAAATTAATTACAATATATTAATAATTAAATCAAAACACAAAAATACTATTCATCTTCATCTCCAACCCCCTACATACTCACCCATCCACCCACCCACTTCCCAAAACCAACACCCACTAATTTCTGCATCCACTCATCCAGAAATGCTTCTCTTAGAATCTAGATCTCACTTTGTCCTAGACATTTCTTCAAAATTAAATCCATAACAAACGAAATAGAGACAACAAAACCTTATTCTAAATCAATTTCTTGACTCTTTTTATGAAGTTGATCCCAGATTACAACAAGAAGAAAGTCTTATTGCCATTAAATTAGAGGTTTTCCCCCCCCCTCCATTTGATGCATTACTCGATCTACTAGAAAACTCAAAGCAATTAGATCCCTTCTACTCAAAATGAGTCTCTGAATACCCACATCAAATTAAGCTATATAACTGGTTCCTCGTAACACAAAGATCTAAAAGTACAATGAAATTAAGTGGAAATAGCTAATTCTTGACACTAATTCAACATATAATATGTATAAAACTTCAAAATAGTTGTTAATCTTACAATACCAAGTTCAAGTAAACATGACAATAATTCGCACATAATTCAAGCAAACAAAAATTCAGAATAACAGTCAAGTGGCTGGGGTGAAGGAGTAGTAAGAATTTAGTATTAAGAAGGAAAGAAGGGGAAGGTGATATGAGTAAAGGGAAATTTGATAAGAAAATGGCTTTTGGTGGGTGCCAATTTTTTGGTGAGTGTTGGTTTTGGGAAGTGGGTGGGTGGATGGGTGAGTGTGTGTGAGGGGGAGGGTGGAGAAGAAGATGAATAGTATTTTTGTATTTTGATTTAATTATTAATATATTGTAATTATTTTTTTTTTGTTGAAAAATATAAAGTTACCATTTTATCCTTTTAAAATTAGTCCAAA